TCAGTGACACATTACTTTGTAGAGTGTTCCTTGAAAGTGTTTCTTGGCTGTATTCCTGGTTTATTCTTTGATTAAGAATGACTCCGGGATGATACATCAGCTTGGACCACTTGGTGCAGGTCTCCCCGCGAAGAGGCCAATTCCCCCTCCGCATAAGCACACTGGCTTGTGTGGGTCTGCTCATTTCCCTGCTGGGAAGCATCCCCTCAGTGTGGGTCAGCTTCATGAACTGAGTGTTAGCTACTGCCGGAAGGTGTTCTAATTTTAGCATTGCTTCTACAGTCACTTAATGGCTTTGCACTCTAAGGAGTTGTGTCTTTCTGTAAAGCTGTTCCGATGCGTGGGTTCTTTGTTCATTCAGTGGATCATAATCCTTGTCATGGTGTGGTTCCAGATGGGGCTAACAGGGTCCCTTTGACTCCTGACCTCAACTTAATGCTTCTGTTTTCCCCTTGTGTTTCATTAGCAAATCATACAACCATTATATCCTAAGATACTGTTTTGGGCATTTAAACAGCTGAGTGAATTATTAAGTGTCTTTATTAGTAAGTTATTCTTAACTATTTTTCAAATGAGAGTTGTGAAATCTGCCTAAGTCTGAATTTCAAGTTTCCAGGAATGAGTTGTAGGTTTCCATGTCGTGGTGCACTTGATCTGTTCGTTCAGCATACAGCATTCAGAAGGTTTGGGAGGAAGCTTAGTGTTCAGTGGTCTCTGCTTGGCCTCCTCCCACTCTTCTGCCTCCAGTGACACGGGGGGCTTACAGAGACACTTCTGCCCGCCTATAATTCACATGTTTGAAATTGTCTTCATTTATAAAAATATTTGTGTCCCGTATTTAAGTAATCATTTAAGTTAATTTAAGCCGTGGACACATCTTTTGTTAGATTTTCATGACAAGAAATAATTCTGGTCAGATGGATTGCATTATGATTAGTTTGACACAGATAAATAGCAAGTAAACATGGTGTAAGAGTTTTGAGTGTGCAAATTACATTTTTGCTTATTTTTACAGCTGAAAAATACAAGGACTTAGTACTGGATAATGCAAAAGCCGATAATGCAACTAAAAATGCAGAGCCACTGATCAATTTGGATGGTGAGTATTTAAAAGGGTGAAATTGAGTATCAGGTTTGTTTGTTTGTTTTTTAAACTTCCTAAGGTTTAGGTTTACACAGGTCTTAGTATATTAAGCATACTTTGGGACTGGCACCATGGTGTTAGTCAAGTGTCAAGCTTCCATCTGTGCTGCTGATGCCACGTTCGGGTGCCGGTTCAAGTCCTGGTTGCTCCACTTTTGAGCCCGCACCCTGCACCCACAGGGGAGGCTGAGGAAGCGCCAGGCGGTTGCCGCTGTGGCCCTTTGGGGAGTGAACCTTCTCCCTCTCCTTCCCCCCGTCCTCCCTCCTTCTCCCCCACTGTAAATCTGCCTTTCAACTAAAATGCTTAAAAATATATCCATCTTTGTGCTGACAGTGTTTTCATTGTTAGGCTTTCCCCTCCTCACCATCGAATAGCTGCATGTTACCATGCTCTTACTTGATTAACTCCTAGTAATTTTGATCTCTTGCTTTCTATTTAGTCACGGAGGTCATTGTTCTGCCTCCCTGGGTATACAAGGAGAGAAGTCCTCACATTTTGTTCTTGTCTTAGATCCCAGGTGTCTTCTGGTGTGGAGATTCTAATTACCTAGATTGTAATATGTTAAGTACTCTGCCTGCTGGTTCCTTGGGACGTAAAACTGATGAATTATCCTCAAAAATGAGGAAGCCTGTTGGACACTTCAGGGCCGCTGCCTAGAGAAAACTGCCCATTGATGGGATCTGTGGGTTGGAAGGAATAACCTTGGGAAGAAATGTTAATTAAAAATGCTGCCTACGATGAGCCTCGCAGAAATTTACAGGGAAAACTAACAGGAGTTCAGTCATTTTGACTGATGAAATATATTACTGGAAAGACCAGTTATCTCATCAGTCTAACTGTTGACATTTTCAAGTTATGTGTTCATCAGTATATCCATAATTATGTTTGTGGAACTGTAAAGGGTTTTCTTGTTGGTTCACTGTGTTCATGCTTAATCTGTTATAGTAAATAATCCTGATTTCAAGGCTGGTGTGATGGCTTTGGCTAACCTCCTTCAGATTCAGCGTCATGACGATTACCTGGTGATGCTTAAGGTCAGTTTCACACTCTTAATTCTTGACAGAAACTCTGTGTATACAGAAAAAAAAAATGTATTTATTTTTCTAAATATGAGCCACTGGATGGACATTTAAACTTAGGGTTGAGTGACTGGAGTACAGGGGAGGACTGTATGGGCCACGAGACAGATTTCCTCACTGTAGATTGCCTAATAGCTGATACGGAGGAATGTTAGCTCCATGCTGCCCCTTACTGGACCCTGACAGAGACGGTCCCCCACACGGCCCCTGACGGAGATGATCTCGTGCAGTCTTCTCAGCAGTCAAAAAATGACATACAGGAGCCCGGGACAGTGGTCTAGCAGTTGAAGTCCTAGGCTTGAACATGCTGGGATCCCAAATGGGCACCGGTTTGTGTCCCGGTGGCCCCACTTCCCATCCAACTCCCTGCCTATAGCTTGGGAAAGCAGTCAGAGATGACCCTAAGCCTTGGGACCCTGCACCTGCGTAGGAGACCTGGACTAGGCTCCTGGCTCCTGGCTCCTGTCTTCAGATAGACTCAGCTCCAGCCGTTGCAGCTGCTTGGGGAGCAAATCATCAGATGGATCTTCCTCTCTATCTCTCTTCCTCTCTGTATATCTGACTTTGCAATAAAAATAAATCAATCTTAAAAAAAGGGGGGGTGGCATGCAGGAAAAAGACTGTAAAGAGGACACAGAAAGTGATGCAAAGTGATAGAACCAGTGTTTAATATAAGAACTCGGAGTGATGCTGTGGGTTCACGGCTTCCCGGATGTGTTCACTGAGGTTACAAGAATGGCTAATGGTGGTGGAGGGCAGTGGCCAGCAGTCCGGGGGAGTGGCGCTCCAGATACCAGGCTTTGTTGAGGTTTTTTCTGGGAATTGTTACTGATTTTACAAGAGGTTAAGAGTTTTTGATAAGACCTTGTGCCTGTGAATTATTTTAAATTAAGCACTTTCGCATTAAAATGACAATTTTGCTGAGGCTAGATTAAACCAGAATTGATAGTATTTAGGATTATATATATTAAATATATATAATAGGTATCATGTGGGAAGTGCTGATTCTTAGACTCTAATAGTCTGCACTGAATCCGCAAGTCATCTTGGATTTTCTGAACCCAGATTGGATGTCAGGACTAAACTTGCTGTAATGAAATTTAGCTGTTTCAAAGTCTTGTTCCTTCCTCGGTCATATATGTTGTCACGGAACGGTTCGGTTGTCATCAGAAACTGGAGCAAGACAGCACACAGTTAACGGGGTGCGGGTTCCTATGTTAGACTTTGAAAGTATAAACCAGCTATGGCAAGAAGTTGTCTCTTGTGAATTATCTTGAGGTATTCAAACAGTGCCTGATAGTAAGGAAAAGCTTAATTGTCAAGCATGAGTATGTCCCCTGTGGCAGTCAATGTGTAATACATTTGTAACCACAAATATGTACAGAACCAGCAGTATTTTTAATCAGACCAAGTGCTGAGGCTCTTTTCTAGACCCAGAGGAAAAGAGCATTAAACCGGGTATAAAAAGTAAACATGTTGTTTTGGGTTTCTTAGGCGATCCGCATTTTGGTTCAAGAGCGCCTGACACAGGATGCAGTTGCTAAAGCAAACCAAACAAAAGAGGTGTGTATGTACATGTATTGTTAATGCCTTGTTATTGAAAGTCCATCTGGTGTTAGGGTAGCACAGAGGATTCACTTGTTTCAGTGCAATTGAGTTGGTTGCAGGTGCAGTGAACACACCCAGTCTCTGGGCTGCATGCTGGAATTTAAAAAACAAAGAGCACTTGAGGGAAGATGCCAGCATGGCGTGCGGGCCAGTGACTCTGCCCGGTTGGAAGGTTCTCCCCTTGTGGAATTTGGTCTGCATTTTCCCTGACTTGCTTTAGCTTAGGCCAGCAGGGTGAAAGGTTACATGTCAGCGCTGTGAGGGTCCCCTGAAACACTTGGCTTCATCTTTAGCATTTGGGGTGCACCGGGCTACTGGGAACTGGATTCGTGATTCAGCTTTTTTCTCCCACCTTGTAGAACAATCTGTGGTTCTGACTTCACAGTGTGAAGTGTGGGAGGCAGCGCACAGTTTGCATGATAAAACTTGGTTTTGCTGTTTCAGATCTTCACGTTACCTCAAACACCAGCCCAGAATAATGTAGTAGAGAAGTTCTCAAATTCATTGTGCTTATTTGTGATTGTTACAGCTAGCATTTGGGGCTTGTGGTCATTTTCAGGACTAGCTGTGCTTTTCCATTTTAGATGACAAAACAGTGTTGTTAACTGTAGTCTCCTGTGTCTCTCCCCCCCATCTTTTTTAAAGGGCTTGCCTGTTGCTTTAGACAAACATATTCTTGGTTTTGACACAGGAGGTAAGTGAATTTTAATTCAGACTCTGAGACACAGTGACTATTTGAGGGAAACACTGTAGGGAAAAAAGGTCTGGTCTAAGTAATGCTTGCAGTTTCCTGTGAACTTTTTCAAGATCTCTGATGGAATGTTTTTCTGAAACCAGATGCAGTTCTTAATGAAGCCGCTCAGATTCTGCGACTGCTGCACATAGAAGAACTTAGAGAGCTGCAGACAAAAATCAACGAAGCTATCGTAGCCGTTCAGGCGATCATCGCTGATCCAAAGACAGACCACAGACTGGGCAAAGTAGGCAGATGAACCGTGAGCTCAGCCTTCCCCGCTACGTCACTGGTGGCATGTATTTGGGAATCTCATGGGAGGAAGCCCGGGAAATTGTTCTAGATATGCCACCACTGCTTTTTTTCTTTAATAAAGTTTGTGAAAGTGGACTTTTTCTTGTAATATTACAAGAAACTATAGATCCATAAGTTGTAGGAAAATTTAAATTTTTATTGGAATAATCTAGAAAAATTGAGAACTATAACATTACATCTTTGGCATTTATAAATGCAGTACTTGTGGTACTTCAGAGGCACTGAAAATTGAATCCTAGCACCTTTTGATAGGAATGCACTTCCGCAGAGGTAAAAGCTTATAAGTTTGGCCGGGAAGCTAAGGGCATCGCTTCCCATCAGTTACACAGAGCCTCTCAGTCAGCGTCTGTGACCACATGTGAGTTCTTGGCCAGGTATGCTCTTAAACTCTTAATTTGTTCTTAGATGAATTTGGTTTTTTAAATACTATATAAATGTTAATAAAAAGTTGCTTTAATAAGCAACAGTTGTTACCTGTTTTAACTTTCAGTAACAACCTTTGCTGAAATATACAGTAGTAGTAAAGATTGAGGTATAAACTTTTCACAAAATATACTGTCTTTTCACAAAAAATGTTCATTTTGTAGATCCAGATACTGTAACCGCCAATTCCTTTTTCACTTTCTTTGCAGCGAATGTTCTTTAGGGTCAGGATTCTGGTTGTAAACGCCAAGTCCTCTGCTGGTGCAGTATTTATTTTCTTCCTGGGAGGGAAACGGGCAAAGTAGGTATTTTGTTACTGAGTTACAACAGCAAGTCTGTGTATGTATAGTTGAGCTAGGAAAACAGGGTTGTGAAGACTGGCTTCCCTGTGTATGTGCTGCCCTTAAAGTTTGCCAGCTTCTAGTAGCTGTCTCTATTGGCAGCAAGGTCTGTATCCGTTACCATGGAAATTGCAGCCCAAGCATTTACCTGTGGGGCAGAAGGGGTGGACGGCAGTGATCCCGTAGAGATGAGAGCGCTGCTCAGGGAGATACTCATCCGTCAGCTGGCCGGAGTGTCTGTCCACTGACAGGACGCCATCCCTGTTCCCAGGAAGGAAGGCAGGCAGAGAAGTCAGACACAAAATGTGAGCTTCCATAGAGAAAAGTGTTGGCTTCCTAGCTTCATTTTAGGTATGAAAAGTTGGTTTATTAGTTCACAATGTAGCTCCCAGACCAGTGTCACCTAGGCACCTGTTAGTTTGGGGGACACCTCTCTGAAGTAGGAGACCCTCTGGTCGGAGCTCACTGCTGCCAAGTCCAGCAGGATGTGTGTGGGTACACCCGGAAAGCTGCCTGCTCTTAGAGGAAGACTGGGATTGTTTCAGAGAAAGAGTAAAAGCATTCCTGTTCAGCAGTAAGTGATGTCTGCAGTGTCAGTACAGCTTACAACAGTTTGGACATCACGTCGTCTTGGAAGCCCAGACTTCAACTCATGTGCTTCCTCTTTAGATACAGTACTGCCAGACAGCTTCCTCGCTCTAAAGCAGAAGCACTTCCAAAGCACCACCTTGAGGAATGCTATTGCCGGTGGACAGTGAGGGGGCTCAGCAGAGGACTCCCTTATTCTTATTCTTATTCACTCCCTTATTCTCAGGATGGCATGTGCTCTGGGACAGTCTGCACCTCGCCTCACCTCCTCCAGTCGGTGTAGTAGAAGTGGTTCAGGTGGCTGACCACGCTGAAGGGGTAGTTGAGGTTACTCTGGATGACGTGCCGGCCGCTTCCATCACGCCGTGTACACTCCAGTTTTCTGGTTCCTTTTAAAACATCAAAGGGCAGTGGTGGAAATAAAGTCCTCTCATGCCAAGGAAGAGAAAAAAAGCACTTTTTCAATTACACTTGTTTGGCTTGAGGAGTCTGCTACTAGGGCAGACTAGCAACAGAGTGTATACTGCCACCACATCAATTAGCAACTAGAATTTCCCATTCTATCACTTGTCCAATTTATTGGGTAGCATTCTTGGTTTTTATCAGAATTTGGGAGCTAGGGCTGTGCTGCAGCAGGTAAAGCTGCTGCCTGTGGCCCTGGCTGCTCCACCTCCAACCCAGCTCTGCTAACGGGCAGGGGAACACAGCAGAGGACGGCCCAGTGCTTGGGCCCCTGCACCCACATGGAGACCTGGGACAAACTCCTGGCTTCAGGATGAAGCAGCGGGGTCACAATCTAACTCTGCCATTCAAACAAGCCAATCTTTAAAAAGCAAACCCTTGGTTTATTATAAAAACCATTACAAAATATTGCTTCTCACACCCACTGGCACACAGCGCCACCTCCTGCCCACCGGTAGCATTACCTGCATCTGCCCAGCAGAGCATTTCGGAGACGGTATCAAAGGTTAGGCCATTAGGTAATCCAATGTCTTTGCTAATCAGAATTCTTCGACCGGCTCCATCTAAAGAAGATGTTTCAATTTTAGGAGCTTCTCTATTCCAGTCTGTCCAGTACAAGTTACTGTAGATAAATTTTAAAAATCAAGATTGTAAAAGAAGTTAATAGAAGATAGCATCCAGGGTGGCCTGTGATCGCAGGCCCTGGTATTCACAGCCTGAAATGACCTTGAATTTGGGCTAGATTTCGTGTCCTGCTTCTTGCACTTGAGGATGGCAGGAGCAGTGTGCTGTCCCTCAGCATTACCTCTGGGTGCCTGCTAAGGAAGCTGGGTGCTGGGGGATACACAGCAGCCTGTGCATACAGGCCCATGTGGTACTGTCAGGGCAAGTGTGTCACTAGAGTTACTCCACAGCCTTGCAGTCTTCTGGTTATTGTAACTGTGTACAGACCCGTGCACATCCTGGCCCTGCCCTGGATCCGCCTAGGTTGTACACTGCATCTTGGGTGGAAACCCTCCACACGACCCGCCTGCTATACCTCGTCCCTCCTCAGCAGCCCTTGTTACATCTACGTAGCAGAATCCAATGGTGCAGGCAAGGATTACAGGCTGACAGTTAAAGCACGAGGAGTCAGGAAAGCCCTTAGACTTCCAATGAACGGGACGAGCAGCTGAGACCAGGAGCGGGAGAGAAGTGGTCACACAGGCGTCATCTCTTCCTGCCGGGCAGGTGAAGCCCAGAGCACTGAGTGCCACAACACAGCTGGAGGCTTGTCCACGCATGCTCAGCTGGGGGCGGGGAGGCAGGGCCTGTGTGTGTCCTTCCTGTGCATCCTGGGTTCTGGCTCCTCCCACCCAGCCTGATTTAAGGCCATTCAAAACAGGAAGCCCAGAATGAACGCACACAGAACCTCAGCATTTGGCGCAAGCTACTGCTGGGTTCTTTGAGTGACATCTACGGAGAGAGAAATACTTAAGAAAGCTTAACTATTCCACCAAGCAATGGAGGAAGACTGGGTCACATGGTCCCATTCAGGCCTGGCTCAGGGTGTTAGAGGGTATTCTTTTGGCTGATGTGACTGGAAAAGACAGACATACTTGCCCAGTGTGGGAAACCACTGAAGTCCAGCATCGAGCTCTGGGCACTCGGGCCATTCAGCAGCAGGAAGCCCCACTGTTGGGCTGAACCCCACTTTCTAGACCTGCTGCCAAGAGGCCTACCTCACTTCCCAAGGCAGCCCGTTCTCGTCAGTGGACACCCTTGTCTTGCTCACTCTAACAGGATGCAAGCTCTGCTCTCAACAACAGCTAGCTTGGCCTGGAACGGCCCCTGGAGCCTACTCAGGCCTTCGGCCATCTGACTGTGTATGTGTGACCTCAGACCTGCTCCACCCAGGCCTTCCCATCTGAGGGCTTCAAGTCGGTCTACAGGGGAAAGGAGAGGCGGGGAGCCCGGCTGACCCTCCGGCTGGATCCACGGCGATGGCGCGGGGATTCACCAGGTCCACGTCGAAGAGGGTCCTGCGCTCGGAGCCGTCCAGGTTGGCCCTCTCCACTCTGTCCCGGCCACTGTCCGTCCAGTACATGGTTCTGTGGACGTAGTCAACAGCGAGTCCTTCGGGGCTCAGGAGCCCTGCAACAAAGAACATGTGTAAGTTAGGAGCAGCGCCCTGAAGCAGAGCATCAGCTACAGCTGACCAAGGGGCTCCGAGTCCCAGGATGAGATCCTCTGGTTCCTTTTTCTGCCCTCTTCCTCTTCCACACTAACAGACCTCCCAGCCTCTGGGTGCTGGGCGCCTGCATGGTAAACCCTGGCCACAGCCTGGGGCTCCAAGTCCAGAGTGTGTGTGTAGAACTGCACCTGCCCCGTAGAGTCCCCGGCATGGACGTGGGCTCAGGGTGGGGCTGTGGAGGGAAGCTGACCTGAGCTGATGATGGTCTCGGGTTCGGCTCCCGCCTGCAGACGGGCGCGACTGATGGTTCGCCCTGCGACATCCGTCCAGTACACCGTGCCTTCCTGGCAGTCGTAGTCAATCCCCACGATGATGGAACCCTTCACAGACCAAAACCACACAAGTCAGCATTCTTTGTACACTTCTCCGACACTGGATCCACAGGCAGCGCAGTCCTTGAGGTGACGCTGGGCCAGGTCCAGCGTGTGATGTCATTCATCTATAGCTGGACCAAACCCGAACGCTTCCAGTGCTGCCCACGCTTTCTGGAAGGGCCTCCCTAAAACTTGCCACCTGTGTCAGCTCCCGCCCCCAGTGCGCTCTGCACACAGCAAGGGCCAGTAGGTGGATACCAAGGGAGCTAGGGATGGTGGGGACCCAGCTTCCGGCTAGTTCAGCTCCCCTCCCTACTGCACTGGTGACAGCCCTTTAAAAGGCCACACGCAGGACTCAGCTGGATGCACCCCAGTCCAAGAAACACTGTAGGCCTGGGGCCCTGGTTGATATCCGCTCAAGAAATGATGAGTGGAGAAGAAGGGACTTCATGTCCACTGACTGCCAGGGTTCTCAGAGGAAAACAAAATGTCCCAGTCCCAGATTTTTCCTTAAGTGGCCGTGGGTAGGGAAGTGCTGGGCTGCAGGGCCATGGACTGTCCATGTGGACCTGAAGCCCATGCCAAAAGGAACATGCGTTTATCATTCAGACTGACCGGCCAAGGCCACTCCGTGGATTGGCTCATTGGGTTTCAGCCACGTGGAAAAGGACCTGTGGTCAGGATCCAGACGTGAGGGAAGATGGACACTGAACCCTAGTCCCCAGTCGCAGCCACGGGGTAGAGACCCCCTCCTCCCCGAAGTGGCAGCCCTACAGGGTGTGGCTCCTGTGCAGCTGAGGTCCCCTGGCCGTTTCTGGGACCTGCTTTGCCTAACCTCCCAGCTGAAGAGCAGGGTCCCTAGGACATGGCCCCTGCTTCCCGAGCCAGCAGGCCCCTTATTATAGGGTACTGCCCCTCCCTTTAGAGAGGCCATTTTTGCATAGTGGGGAAGGAGAAAGGGCCTCCCCAGTAAGGCATCCCCACCCATGAGGGAGACGACTCTGGCACCACTGCTGGCCTTCCCGCTCCGGGACCCGCTCAGCCCTGAGCAAGGACAGCGTGGAGCAGGATGACTGCACAGGCTTGGAGGCGGCCATGCCCCTGGCCAGTCCCAGCATGCTGCCTGGCACGAGCTGGCCAGCAGGGTGTGGAGGCCGGGCCTTCTGGCCAAGTCAGTGGGGGTGCAGGCTCCACCCCCGGCTGGGAGAAGTCCCCCTTACATGCACTGACAGCAGGGTCTTGGCCTTGTCCTTCAGAAGCGTGGTGCCCTGCAGGGGCACCTGGCCGATGCGCTGCACCTGGGCATAGAGCAGGAAGTCACCCACGGGCGGAGCAGTGACATCAGGCCGCGGCATGGGCAACATCGGGGGAGGCACCGTCCCAGGGAGACCTGTGTGGGAAAGCAGCGGGCTGTGAGGGGGTCAAGTTGCTACCCGTGATGCCTGCATCTCCTGTTGGTGCTGGTTCGAGTCTCAGCTACTCCACTTTGTACCAGCTTCCTGCCAAAGTGCCTGGGAAAGCAACAGAACAAGGTCCAAGTGCTTGGGCCCCTGCACCCACGTGGGAGTCCCTGAAGAAGCTCCTGGCCTTGACCTGGCCACTGTGGCAATGTGGAGAGTAAAGCAGCAGATGGGAGATCTTTCTTGGTCTCTCTCCCCCCACCTAACTCTGACTTTCAAAGAAACAAATACTAAAAAAAAAAAAAGAGCCAGAACTCTGGTGTAGCATATGAAACCTCTGCTGACGGTGTCAGCTGGTTGGAGTACAGCTGCTGCACTTCCAATCCTACTCCCTGCGGATGCTTCTGGAAAAGCAATGGGAGATGGCCCAACCCTTTAGGCTCCTGACACACGGGGGATCCGAAGAAGCTTCTGGCTCCCAACTTTGGACAAGCCCGGCTCTGCCTGTTGCAGCCACTTGGGGATGACCCAGCAGATGGAAGATTCTCTCTGTTGTAGCTTTACCTTTCAAATAACAATAACAATAAATCACTGGGGGAGAAAAATCAGCCAATGCTGTGCTTCTCCTGGGACCCCAGCGTGGCACGTGTCCTTCAGTGTTCCCCAGTGCCCTACACTCCACATGTCTGCTTTACAGAAAGGGTTAAGGGCAAACCCCAGCACCCCGTTCAGATGGTTAGGGTCTGACCTGGCATCTGAGCGACTCTCCTGGCAATCTTTCCCCACTGCCCGGAGGGAGGGCAGCCCGAGTGCTTACATGCGGGAGTGATGCCCGGCTGGGAGCGTGTGCCTGCCACCTCTCTGCCGTCTTTGTCCACACACCAGCAGAAGTCGCTCTTGCCGTGACACTGCAGGGGCACGAAGTGGCCCAGGTCATCACACTGTGGCACGTACTGGTCGTCCCGGGCGCTGCCCCCATAGTGTTCGAGCAGGCTTTCCTTCCAGCGCTCACACACGGTCCGGGGCCTCTGGGTTGGTCCTGGGTAGACAGGAATAAGTGCCACCCGACAGGAAGACCAGCAAAGGCTGACAGGTGGCTCATGACCCCCCACCTCTGCCCTCTGCCCTCTGTCCAGCACCAGGTTCTCAGCCAGCCCGAGGACTGCACCAGGGAAGTGGGTGGTTCTGGGAGTTCTCTGTGGCACTCACTGTGGTTCTGTCACCTCGGGCCAGGTCCATCAAGGCCACATGGAAAAACAGAGAGGTCAGGTGTGCAGTGTGGAGGGCAGCAAGTTGGCTCTGGTCACGAGAGGCCCACAGGCCACTCCTGGCCCAGTGCCTGAGCATGCTCTGCAAGTGGCTTTCACCTTAAAGCCCGCCCTCTCCTGCTTGTTCCAGGACCTGCCACCGCACAGTGGCCTGTGCTCCCTGCAGGACATCACCCAGAGCCTGGCCTTGCCCGGGGCATCTGTGTCTGTGGACAACTTGCCGGCAGTGAGCGAAGCATGATGCAGTTGTGGGAAACAGCTGTGCAGACTCTCAGGACAACCCATTCCCATTAGTCTCAGTCATCTTGCTTCAGGGCCACCCTCAAAGCAGACCCCTTGTTGCCGATCCCTGGCACCCTGTCACAGTGTCACAGCCCCACTCTCTCAGTGTCCTCCCCTCCTTGCCCCTCCCTCACTGCCATGTTAAAGACCGGCCACACTCGGGGGCCACCATTGTGGCTTAGCAAGCTAATCCTCTGCCTTATGGGCAGCAGTTGGAGTCCCAGATGCTCCACCTCTGATCCAGCTCCCTGCTAATGTGCCTAGGGAAGCAGTGGAGGATGCCCAACCCTGGCTGTTGAAGACATTTGGGGAGAGAATCAGTGGATGGAAGATCTAACTCTGTCTTTCAAGAAAAAAATATCTTTTAAAAAATACAAACAAATCAGCAAATCCAGCTAGTCTGGGCCATAGAGCAATCTCCAGCCAGGCTTCTGCCAGCAGAAGTGCTGTCCCCACCATGGTGACTCCATCTGAAGATGCTGCTGTAGGGGTCGAAATGATTGCTGTGGCAGCGTAATCCAAAGAATTCAAAGAGAAGGATGGTGCTTCTTCCTTTTCAATTCCTGCCACTCAGCTTATGCTCTGCGGTCACTCAGCTTACACTCTGCGGTCACTCAGCCGAGCACCCATAGGCTCTCCAGGTACATGACGGAACCCGTGGTATGACCCCAGAATCTGTCCCCTCAAGCCTGCCCCTGTCCCAGTCTCCAGTCAGCAGCGGCCCCACCAATCTCCACGGCTCAGACGCCCTGGCCAGGCCTCCTCCGCTGCTCTGCCCGTGGTGTGATGGGCCACGAGAGCTTGCAGCTCCATGGTCATGGTCTCCTCACCGCTCCCCACCTCCAGCCCACTGCCCTGGCCGTACCCCACCTGCGGCTCCCGCTGGGTCTTCTCACTGGGCACCATGCCAAGCTCTGGGGAACAGCTGTCCCCTCGGGTGGCTTGGAAGGGGCCCTCCCTATTCCATCACTACTTCTCATTCTGGCTTTGGCCATGTCCTCTGCCTCGGACTGAGCAGGCATCCTCACCTGCTTTGAGCGGGTGTTGCTGCACAGACGAAGCAGCTCGGGAATGGCAGCCAAGGCCTGACCAGAGCCAAGAGGGAAGTCTGGGCACAAGCAAGTCAATACCAAAGAATGTGGCCCTACTCCGCTCATTGCCTTGGCAGGCTTTCAGCCACCCTGCACGGCCCCATCCCAAACATGTCTGCAACTTCAGGCCAGTGCCGGAAAGCAACTGCCTGCGATGCTGCTATCCCAAATGGGCACTGGGTCATGTCCTGGCTGCTCCCGTTCTGATCTGGCTCCCTACTAGTTTGCCTGGAAAGCAGTGAAAGATGGCCCAGGGGCCTGGGCTCCTGTACCAGGTGGGAGACTCGAAGAAGCTGCTGCCTGCTGGCTTCAGAACGGTCCAGCTCTGGCAGTTGCAGCTGTTCAAGGAGTGAACCAGTGGATGAAGGATGTCTCTCCCCTACTCTCTAAAATTCTGCCCTTCAAGTAAGTAAGCCTTTAAAAAAAACTTTGGTTTATGTATTTATTACACTTTTCATCATATTAGAGCTGGAGTAGGGAACCTTTTTTATTGCCAAGGGCCCTTTGGTTATTTCTAATGAGTCACACACAATTATTAGCTTAAAAATGAGCCTGCGGGCCCGGCGCGGTGGCGCAAGTGGTTGAGGTCCTCTCCTAGCATGCCCGGGATCCCATATGGGCGCCGGTTCTAATCCCGGCAGCCCCGCTTCCTTTCCAGCTCCTTGCCTGTGGCCCGGGAAAGCAGTCGAGGACGGCCCAAAGCTTTGGGACCCTGCACCCGCGAGGGAGACCCGGAAGAGTCCTGGCTTTGGATCGGCATAGTATCGGCCCGTTGCGCTCACTTGGGGGGTGAATCATCGGACGGAAGATCTTCCTTTCTGTCTCTCCTCTCTGTATATCTGCCTTTCCAATTAAAAAAAAAAAAAAAAGAGCCTGCCATAAATTGAGTATAATCGAGTTCTATCCACAGGTGCCTCGGCAGGTTCACACCAAATGATTTCAGAGGCTTCACACACCTGCGGCTGGATGAGCCCCACCCATTTCAGTGCTCTCCTCCTGCTTATAAAGACATCTGCTGTAAGAACCTCATGCCGTCACACGGGCAGCAGCCGCACAGAGCTCATGGCTACCAGGTCTCTCTCTCTCTCTCTCTCTCTCTCTCTCTCTCTCTCTCTCTCTT